TTAGGGTGTAGGGAGCAGCCCTGTCTAACATCGATGTTTTCTTTGATGCAGAATCTCAGGTTGTCAACATCTATGACTACCTGGGAACCCTATCTTTCAAAAATTTGGCACCAGTCTCAATATCATGATGCGAATTGTTTTCTTGCTTTTTGCTTTCTCTTGCCTGTTCAATTCTGCGGCCGCTGGCCAGCGCTCGAAGAAAGATCACCCACGTAGTGGAAAGGGGGTGGCAACGAAAAACACGGCCACCCGGACGGAACCTCTTGAGGAAGAGCCGCTGTTTTGCGATCTTTGGGAGGCTTTTCCAGAAGGCCTCTGGATCGATTCTGAGGCAAAGGCCCAGAACGATCTGGAGGCCCAGTGTCTCAAAGAAGAGGTAGAGCTGGAAAGGATGAGGAGAGCGGAGCTGGAGAGCCGGTTGGCCTCCTCCGCCTCATCATCATCTTCCAAGGATTGAGGATCCTTCATGCTCTCCTTGGTTGCGGCATCGCGCGTGCTTATTAGATTTGCCAGTCTCAATTTGGCACTCGTAAATCCCCCGTAGGCCAATCATTTCCTCAATTAAGATTATCCTAGCTGTCCCTGAGTTCCCTAGATTTTCGCCTGACCGACATGTTTGAAGTTGACCATAGTTCATCATTTTTCCCACATGGTCGTGCCCCCAGAATTATAAGTTGATTTATTAGCCCACCCATCTAACTGTAGTTGTGATTATAATCACCATTAATCCAACAGTTAACATATATCAATCATAAATAGATTTACACCAACTAGCTAGAATAAAGCAGCTATATATCATATATATATATATATATGTATATATATAATATTGTATATATATATATATTATATTTTTTTCACACACATATATTTATTTATATATATATACATATCATAAATTATATATATATATATATATATTTAAGGATTGATCATGCTCTTTTGTCAGTAAACCACCATTTTTGTTGTTTGTTTGTTTGTTTGGTTTGTTTGTTTGTTTGTTTGTTTGTTTGCTCTGTTTGCTTTGTTTGCTTTGTTTGCTTTGTTTGCTTTGTTTGTTTGTTTGTTTGTTTTGTTTGTTTGTTTGTTTGTTTGTTTGTTTGTTTGTTTGCTTTGTTTGCTTTGTTTGTTTTGTTTGTTTGTTTGTTTGGTTGTTTGTTTGTTTGTTTGTTTGTTTGTCCATCGTCAACATCGACCACCTTACAGCTGGCTGCAGGACAGCATCAAAGTTTGTTGCAGGTATCTTGCGTGCGGCAGAGACAAATCTGGCACTCGCGCCGGTCGGAAAGAAGAACTCTTATATTTCAAACTCCACATGGTCCAAACTTGAAGGAAGAAATCAACTTAGGAGAAGCGGGGCTTCCGCGCGAGAGGTAAGACAATTAAACAAGGAAATCTACAAACGAGCCCGGGTAGATCGGCAAAACAATTTGATTGAGCAGTTCAATGAAAACCCAAATGACCCTCACAAAAAAGGTTTATGGAGGGCAGTGAAAGGATTAAAAAGGAAATTTACACCGCAATATGTACAGATGAAAAACGCTCAAGGTAACCATGTACCGGTCGCAGAGAGGGCGCAAGCCATTGCTGAATATTTGGAAGCGAAACGCTGGTATAATGATCTCGATACAGGCATGCCGGACAATACACCGATCCTAGAGAATAACGGAGCTGATGCAAATCTGTTTAGCATTGAAGAATTAAACGCGGCCCTTAAGTTTTCAAATAATAATAAACAACCTGGCCCAGATGGCGTGCAAATGGAACTGCTGAAATGGCTTAACTTGGAAAACCGACAGTGCCTCCTAAACCTTATCAATAGCTGGTGGTTAAGTAAAAAAGCGCCCAAAGAACTCTTCTTGGCAAGGGTTGTCCCAATTTTCAAAAAAGGGGACACAGATAACGCTGCAAATTATAGGCCCATATCTCTATTAAGTAGCATTTACAAAGTGTATATGATTATGATACGCCAGAGAGTGCAAAACGCTATTGAATTACACCTTTCCAACACACAATATGGTTTTCGACCTCAACGATCCACGTCGCATGCTATTTACGTAATCCGACGAATCCAAGATTTCGCTGAGGCAAAAGGATCCCGATTAAGTTTAGCTCTTTTAGATTGGGAAAAAGCCTTTGATAAAGTACAACATGACGAATTGATAATGACGTTGAGAAAAATGGGTTTCAGTCAGCACTATTGCGATATCATCCAAAACTGCTACGAAGAACCTACCTTCTTTGTCAAGGATGCATTTGGTACATCTCAGATCAAACGACAATCTTCTGGTATCAGGCAAGGATGTCCATTGTCCCCCTATCTTTTTGTTATTGTTATGTCATGCGTAGATTTCGAGATACGGATGAATTCAAGCCGTTGGGTACAAAATGGCAGAATTCCAAACCTGGATTTCGATATGATATACTATGCCGACGATACGATTATTTTTTCTACAGACAACAGGGCCTTAAATGAATTGTTAAAACTTACTGAATTATTTTCCGGCAAATATGGGCTGCGACTGAACAAAGATAAATGCGTGGCAATTCAAATGAATAATGATGGTGTGGTCCACTTTGAAAACGGCGAACCGCTCCCCAACAAATTCGAAACAACTTATCTAGGAAACGAGCTTAACAGAGATGTCAACATAAAACACGAAATCCTCAACAAAATGCAGGAAGTAAGGAAAACTTGGTACAAACTTCTACCGTACTGGAAGGCAACAAATGCAAACGTCAAATGGCAATTACTCATATTTGATGCGGTTATCCGATCCAAATTGTTGTACGGTCTTGAAACAGTCCATTTGACTGGCGCTATGCTTAAGAAAAATTGATGCCTTCCACATGCGGTGTTTGAGGAGAATCCTCAAAATCCCCACGACTTTCATTGATAGACGATATTCTAACAGAGTCGTTCTGCAGAGATGTACAGATCTTTCGAAATCCTCTTCGCAAATCAAGGCGATCAACGACAATTTGAAGTATTCAGCCAGTCTTACTTACACAGGAAATCCAAATTATTGGGTCATGTTTTAAGAGCAGGCCCAGAAGACCCCATGCGTCAAATATCTTTTCAACCCTATAGTGCTGTTAGGCCACAATATGGCAGAAAACGAGTTGGTCGCCCAAAGCAAAATTGGCTGCATTACGCAAAAAAAAACATACATTTGAACATATTTTACGTGGCTATGACTACTTGGAATCACCTGATGAAGACGCACGGATATATAATGCAGCCATAAACAGGACATTCTAGGATGCCCCACGGACCTTCGGCTACGCCCACGCTTTGCGTTGACATTGACTAGTTTTCAGTGCAGGGTACGGCTGGGAAAAAAAAAATATATTTATAAAATATTTTTCACACACATACATATATATATATTTATTTATTTATATATATATATATCATAAATTATACATATATGTTTTTTCAGGATTGATCATGTTCTTTTGTCAGTAAACCACCATTTTTTGTTGTTTGTTTGTCCATCGTCAACATCGACCACCTTACAGCTGTGGCTGCAGGACAGCATCAACGGTGTGGTGGTGCCACTGCCGGCACCGATGTCGGAGCTTGGGCACCCAGTGCCAAGGGCAGAGAAACCACGGATGATGGAAATGAATGAGAGTTATGCGATATATTGGACAACTGAAACTATATATATATTACACATTATTTTTCTATATCAATATATATCTATATATATATATATATAGATGTTTGAATCTTTCTATCTCTCTATATTTCTATCTATCTAAACTATATAATACTATATTACTGTAATGTGCATGTATGTATGTGACACATGTATTTGCACAATCCTCATGTATATATATATATATAGGAATACATATATTCATATATATATATAGGAATACACATATATATATATACATATATATATATATATAAATATGTACATATGTATCAATAAAAGGATAAACATCGGTTGTTGCACCCGTGCCCTTTGCAACATGATACAAGTGGACCTGAGAGCAGGACCCACCTAGGGATGAGCCGCTCATATTTTCATAGGATAAGCATGGATTAACCATCCAGCTATTGGGGTACCCCTATCCATGGAAACTTTTATGGAAACTTCCGCACATATATATATACTGGTTGGTGGTTTGGAACATGTTTTATTTTCCCATAATATATGGGATAACCCTTCCCATTGACTAATATTTTTCAGAGGGGTTGAAACCACCAACCAGCAAAAAGATGCAAAAATCGGAAAATCTTGATAAACCATTGGATTTTGACCAATCACTTTACCAGCGGTTTGGGCCGTGTATGTCCGTCTACTTCCTCCCGTGATTGTTGTTGGTTTTGTTGGCTTTAAAGTACGTAGTAGATACTCTTTGGTTATTTAACATAGCCATGGAATCTCCCTGAAATAAATGGAGGTATCTAGCTGGGAAAGTCATCGATTTCTATGGGCCATCTATACCATGGCTATGTTAGTCATAACCAGAGGGTAATTATGTTTTTTTCTTCTGAGTTGTGAATCAACGGGTTTGAATGCTGTCTCTTTGTTTCCGATGATTTTTATATGAAGGATGTTGGGGGACAATGTGAACGAAACCCTTGTGTTGAACGTGGGGCCCCTCACGTGGGTTCCGTTTTAGAACTTCAAGCAATTTTCCCAACCTGGTTATGTCAACAGTTTGCTATTGAAAATTGCCATGTATAGTGAGTTTTCCCATTAAAAATGGTGATTTTCCATAGTTTTTTGTATGTTTACCAGAGGGTACAACCTAGCATACAAGTGTGTCATGATATATAGTAGCGTTATTGGATGACAAGTTCAATTTGAAACACCCACCTGGATTGATAACCTGCAACCATGTCCATGCATCCCATATTATATATCCCCATTTTATCATATTCACATCCCAATTTTCATGATATCAATGATATCCCCAGTAAAATCACACCAAATTGGAATGTGTTATCGGAGTCCCCTGTCTCCCGCAGCCGCGGTGGCTCCTAATACGCAGAAATGGCGCCGCGCACGCGACGCAGTCGCGGAAATCGCGGAGTTGGCACGCAGGGGGAGGGCTCCATCACGGCGCTTTGGATTTGCAACAAGTGGGACCGACAAAGATGGTGCTGGTTGGTGGTTTGGAACATTTGGATAATTTTTCCATATATTGAGAATGTCATCATCCCAACTGACTTTCATATTTTTCAGAGGGGTTGCAACCACCAACCAGAAGATGGTGGTTTAGCCAACAGAAATGGTGGTTTAATGAAACAAAAATGGCGGTTGAACCAAGAGAAATTAGGATTTATAGTTGATATTACCCTCTGGTAAACATACAAAAAGCAATGGAAAATGACCCATTTATAGATGGTTTACCTATTAAATATGATGATTTTCTATAGGTATGTTAAATTACCAGAAGGTAGTTGATATTTTTTTTGGTTTGCTAAGTTGGTTTACGACCCCATGACCCTGGGGCATAGAAAAAGATGTGGAAAACCTATGGGGAAACCCTAGGAAAATGATCTATAAATGGCGGTTTTCCACATCTTCATTGGTTTACAGGAGGGCATACACGTTGGTTTATCACCCTCAGTAGCAAAAAAGACATACGATGACATATCATACGTTTCATAAACGCTAGTTTTTGGAGTTATATTCACCAACTTAGCCATTTCGAAAAAAGGGTCACCACCTTGACCGATCTTATTGAACATCAGGGGGCTAAATAAAGGGTGGTTTTGCCCGTATGATAACCGTGAAAATATTATCCATTAATATTAACAGTAAATTACCAACCAATAGTAAATGATATATACCCATAATTGTATCATGTTTTAACCTCCATTCATAGGTAATCTGCCTCCATTCATAGGAGAAACAGATGTTTTTTTGATGCGATGACAGGGAGAAATGACCCGAGGGATGGACCTCAGCTGACCTCGCCAGCAGACTCTAAGGGGTATACGTATCCCTCGCCATGGCCTTTTTCATATGGTCCAGGATGTATGGCCTAAATGAGCAAAATACTAAATTACCAAAATGTGGTCTAGGGTGTATTATATATATATATACACATAATATGAGGATTTTATCAAGAACACTGAGTGAACACTGGTGAGATAGCGGATACATACACAGATATATACATATCATGGAATAATTTGATATATCCATTATACCAAGCAGCACATATAAACTATTCAGATCAACTCCTATTGACTGATATTTAATTTTATTTGGATCAACTATCATATATATATATAGTTATATCAACCTATTGTGTCCAAATAGTTGATACCATTCACTGTAGCTGATGTATAGTCACATTTGATATATGATCAGTTTTGATATTAACGCACTATAGTTCTATAATTTCAGTATATGTAAATAAATATGTATGTATCCACTATATTGAAATATAAATAGTTGATATAGTGCCTAGTATAGTGTATGAAATGTCGACTGTATCATATATTTATAGATACATATGAACTATATTGATTGTATGCTAACTAATATCAAATATATCAACTATATTAGTTACTATATCAACTATCTTGGTATATAAACTATATTGATCACTATAGTGATGATATACGTATACAATCTACTACATCACGTCATTATTATAAACTCTATTATAACATATATATATATATATTCCTAATCTAGTTGACTTGTATAGTGAATGATATAAACTGTATTGCTATGATATATTTATATATATATATATATGTCAGGCATATTAATCACTATAAAGTGAATTATATATCTACACTATATCAATTTTCTACACTATATATCTACACTAGCAGTATATATTTATTGCTATGATATCTATCTATCTACCTATCTATGTATCTACCTATCTATCTATCTACCTATCTAATCTAATCTAATCTAATCTAATTTAATCTATCTATCTATCTATCTCTATCTCTATCTATATCTATATCTCACGTGATATCAATTCTCCATCCCCCCAGGTGCTGGGGCTCAGCGGTGTCCTTTGCACCGTCTCGGTGGATCTCTCGGCACCTGTGCGCGAGGCGCCTTTCGCCGTTCGCTGCGCCGCGCGGCGCTGGCCGGAGATTTCCATGGTTAATATGGTTGATAATGGTCCGAGATATGGTCGTTGATAGTGGTTAAGATGGTTGATAATGACCTGTTGATGTGGTTAATATGATTTTTAAAATCAACGACAGGTCATGTTTTTTTTCTGGGATTTGTATGTTTTTTTCATGGTTTTGATATGATCTTCATGGTTCGATATATATATATATATGTCACTCTATATGGCTTTCGTGGTGAAATGAGGTTTAGAATGACGAAACATACTGTGGATTTTATATGAATTTATAGCGCTTTAACTGAAAGCAATTGATGTCAATTGATGGCATAATGATGGGATTAATGGCAGTAGATTGAAATTTTGCCAGGAAATGCAGGATGTAAAATTGTGACAAAAAATAGTATCTACTAAGGTTTGTGACCGTTAAACATACCCATAGGATCCATGGTGCTGGTATATAAAAACCTAGAAAACTGGGTGATTTTGGACAAGGGCAAATGTTTGGATTCATATTCCAGCACCATGGTTCGCATTAATGGGATATGTAGAACTATGAAATTTGACCAGAAGTAATCGGATCATCATGAAAGACCAGAAGTTGTAGCGGCGATAGAATCAGCTGTTTTTTGGGTTTAGGGTGAGGATATGCAAAGATATTGACCAAGAATATGACAACAAGTAGTTAGTCCAAGAATTGTATTGATCCAATGGGTTTTCGGATATGGAAATCCATGGGGTTTTCGTCTTGCCTTATATAGGCCTTATATAGGCCTATATAAGGCCATGGCCATGCAACAGGAACCGAGAACAATTGGAGGTACCTACCATATATTTTTAGCCTTTGAAAGCACCAAATAGGAAGATTGGCTATGTCCCCATTGAATGCTGAGAAACTCCCGAGTTTGATGGCAAAATAAGTTTTAGTCATATTTGAAGGAGAAAACCAAGTAACCACCTGCCATATGTTTGTTGCATAAACCTTTTGTATTCTTGATAGTTTGATTCCCCTTTTGGGAATATCACAATTCCTCATCTTTGAAGTTTTGATACTTATGCTTTTGCTGCACAATCTAAGATGCAATGCATTTTTCTGCTATCCCCAAAAATGCAGTTTATTTATACTTACTGGAACGATATATATATATATATATCCAATATGTTCTGTGTTTTTTCCACAAGCAAAAACTGCGGCGCATGTTGAAGATGTTGTTGCTTTAGAGGCCCAGAAAGTGATCGAAAAGGCCGCCAGCATTCCAGTTGGTGAACAACGCCTACTGTGTTCCTTGGATCATCCCATCAATAACTGGTGCAGGTAACCATACAACCCATTAATCTGGGTAAATTACAACGACCTCACTGCGACCTCACTGGAATCGTAGTTAATAAGGGAAAACATCCCCAAATGGCCTTAATTCAGGTTCGTGAAATATTATAATTTACCCAGATCAATGCGAACCATGGTGCTGGAATATGAACATTTACCCCGAATTTATCACCCAGTTTTGTAAGTAAGAAAAAACATGAATGGAGCATCTGGGTAACCATTAGAACCCAATCTTTTGGTTCATTCTTCTATCTCCTTTGGGAGATTTGGAACATTTTTTATTTTTCCATAATATATTGGGATAATCTTTCCCATTGACTTTCATTTTTTTTTCAGAGGGGTGGGTATACCACCAACCAGCCAGAATTAATCAAGGATTAAGCACTATTAACCACTATTAACCACCATTAACCACTATTAACCACTATTAAGCATTAATGGTCATATCTTCTTTGGGACCCAAAGAAATGCTCTTCGTGTCTACCGTTCAAAAATCTCCAACATCTCCGTCAAAGGCATTGGTACAGCTATGGGAATCCTCTATTGCTCGCTGGATGGTGACGAAAATTGCATGGAAAATCCAATGGAAAATCCTATTTTTACATGGATGAGAATTTAGGGGTACCCCCATAACTTTGGAAACCTCCATATCTACTATCTACTTAAGTACTTTGTTTATTCAATTTAATCATATCGAATATGGTGGTGTAATATACATGAACCATTTTTATCAACTATTCTATATAGCATTTGGATACTACATTTTTTCAGCAGTATATACCACGGTTGGGTACGGTAAGAACTTTTATAAACCATATATACGGTATACGATTACGAACCACGTATGAAAATGAGGCGAACAATCTTCCAAGTAACCATATAACAAACGTTGCTCTTGGGATACATTGAAATATATTGACATGTACCGATATATATGTATATACTGTATATGCAATTGGACACCTAATTGGATAGCGCTATCTATGGATTATTTCTTGTTGTTTACTTTTTTTGCATTGGATTATCAACCTTTTGGTTTGATATTTTAGTCTAATATTGATTGGAAGAGGTACCCTCTGGTTATGTCAACAGTTTGCTATTGAAAATTGCCATTTAGTTCGTTGATTTACCCAGCTACAAAATGGTGATTTTCCATAGTTATGTTCGTTTACCAGAGGGTATTATAATTGTATTCTGGTTAAAAAGTCTTACCCTCCAGTAAATTAACATAGACCCTGGTAGTCATCGGGCTTGGAAGATTAGTGTGATTAGTGAAACCTCTAAAAATTGGTGATTTTCAGGGTCCACAAGTTAATTTACCAGGCCGGGTACATATCAGACCCAACTTGTGTTTTTTGGGTGACGACTGGTGTGACTTCTGGATTTCACGGTTACCGTGGAGAGTTAATCAAATCACGTGTGCCGAGTCAGCAGTGGGACTGATTGTTAAAAGGACTCGGAAAGGTCTAGTGATTTGATGATTCATTACTATTAGCAAAAGCATGAAATAAAAATCAATGATTCATTAGCGTTATTTTTATTTGATGCTAGTAATTAAATAGTAATGAATCAACCACGATGGTGATGTTTTGATCTTGATGGGTTATTGCGATCTTGATGGATCATTACTAAAGTTCAAGCGTAAAAGTCATATTATGTGTACATAACATGATTAATCACGGGCACCAGTATAATTGCCATATATTGACCATATGTAGTTTAACTAGAATTACCATAAATATGTATACCATTTGAGTTTCACAATGAAGCTGATAGTTCTATGTGCTAAATGATAACCATGATTAAACCTGGTTTTTATTATGGTTAACCATGATAAGTAACCATGATCAGTAACCATATATTAACCATTTATTACAGTGATGACCATTTATTAGGTAACTAACTGGTTATAACTGGGATGAAATACATTCTACAAAATGAGGTTTTGTTAGTAGTTATAACTGGTATTTCTGGCCATAACTGTAACCTTTGTTATCGTCCCCATCGTTGTCACATCGAGGTAATCAGCAGGTGCTGCGCTCCAATGACCCGTTGGGCGAGGCGCTGCAAGGCGGCCAAGAAGTCACAGCATCTCGCCGGTGTCGCGGAAGTTTTTGTTAACTGAGTGGTGTGATATATATATATATATATATATTAATAGTATCTGGGTAAATTATAACGACCTCAGTGCGACCTCACTGGAATCATGGTTTTTAATAGGGGAATCATCCCCAAATGGCCGCAAGATTCAGGTTAGTGAAATGTTATAATTTACCCAGATAGTATATTGATATAGATGATTAATAGTGGTTTTATGGTGATAATAGTGTATTAATGATAATGGTGATAATATGGTTTTATTTGATAATCGTATATTAACATATGTATTAATGATATGTTAATAGTGTATTAATAGTGTATTAATAGGAATTGTTATGTTATACAATGGGAATATGATGGTAAACAGTGCTTCAACATTGTATAATTATGGGATATTAATGGTATATTAATGGATAGGCCCTGTGGCAATTTGTTGCAGTTTGCTATTGAACATGACCCATTTAGTTCGTTGATTTACCTCTTAAAGATTGTTATTTTCCATAACTATGCTAGTTTACCAGAGGGTAATGGGATATTCATGGTGGTAATCACTCTTATACTGTAGTAATAATCACATGTTTTTACTTATTTCTTCAAGAATCACTGGGTTGGTTGAATAAACAATCTACAGGAAAAAAAACTCCATCAAATTGATAGCTGGTTGGTGGTTTGGAACAGCCATAATGGTGGTTAATAGTGGTTAATAATGGTTAATGAGATATACTGCTTGGTGGTTTGGAACATGAATTTTATGACTTTCCATATATTGGGAATACTAATCCCAACTGAGGAATTCATATTTTTCAGAGGTGTAGGTATACCACCAACCAGATAGGGATAATGGCTATGGAAAATTGCCATTTATATTTGAAATACCTGTTAAACATGGTGATTTTGCATAGCTATGTTAAATTACCAGAGGGTAACAGTAAATTGTATACCCAATATATTGGAAAATCATCAACAGACCTTAATGGAAAATGTGATGAAATGTCCACATGAATTCCTCATGAAAAGGTTGGTTTTGTACCGAGATCCGTCTCATCAGACCAGCAACTCGCTGTTTTTTCCTCCACTTTTTTTGCTGGTTATAGGGTTATGCCATGATGTTTTTATGTTTGTTGCGTAAATTCACCATGTTCTAAGCTTACCCTCCGATAATCTAACATGGCTATGGAAACTAAATGGATCATGTTCTATTGCAAAATGTTAATTCACCACAGAATAGAATAGAGGAGAATTCGAAGGGTATTGTCCGATTTTTGTTTCGGAAAATCTGCAGGATACCATATGTTTCTGAATCGTTCCACCATTTTGCAGATACGGATTTGCTTCATAGCTATGACTTACTGGTGCGTTTTACGCAGGGAATTTGAGGGAATGATCCATTTCATCACTATATTAATCCCAGCAACTCCCAGCAACCCATCCAGCAACCCTACGTAAAACGCACCAGTAAGATGATAAAAGAACACTCATAGAATTGGATGATGGGAACATTTACTTCGGAAAGCCCGTCATATTTGATGGTAAACACCATGGTTTCCGGTTAAGATTTTCCCAAACAAAACCAATCCAGTGAAACACAGCATTTCTTGGCCCCTGGAGTGGATCCTTGATTTGCGTAGTTCGGATTTGTTGCGTAGATTTTTTCTATCCAAATGGAAAATCCAGGAATCTTGGATTATTGGGATATGGATATCATAGAGCTGGATATGGGTTTTCCACATGGGTGAAATCAGTGTTAAATCAGGGGAAGCTTGTTTAGGTTTTTACAAGAAAACTGCTGGGTTTTTCAACCACCATTTTTTCCAACACATGGTGGTCATTGTCGTGGCACCGTGTACCAACCGATTCCAAGGTGGTTCGCTGCGATTCCAAGACGATCACCATGGACTTGGTGTCTTGGTCGAAGATGTCGATGTCGAAGATGGTGACTTTTTCGACATCAAAAAACATTGCGGTGTTTTATTAATAATCGTAGTATATTAGTGATAATAGTATATTAATATTAAGATAGTAGGGATTGTTGATGTTATATAAGATTACTAGTATGTTTTATGGTTTTATTTGATAATCGTATTTTGATATATATATATATATATGTATATTAATGATATGTTAATAGTGTATTGATAGTGATTAATAGGGATTGTTGTGTTATACAATGGGAATATCATGACTTAATATATATATATATACTGGTTGGTGGTTTGGAATATTTGGATTATTTTTCCATATATTGGGAATGTCATCATCCCAACTGACGAACTGATATGTTTCAGAGGGGTAGGTATACCACCAACCAGATTAATATATTTATATATATACATATATATATATATATTAATGATATTAGTCCATTTATGGGATAATTGTTGGGATAAATGGGATAAACACATTAACCCACTGAGAATGGGATTAATAGTGATGTATAGGGGTTAATAGTATAAAAATGGCTTCAAAATGGCTTCAATGGGATAATTATGGGATATTAATGATATATCAATGGATAGCTCATCCGGTATTTCTTTGCATAGCTATTGAAAATGGGTGATTTATATTTGCTTTACCTATGAAACACTGTGATTTTCCATAGCTATGTGAAATTACCAGAGGGTATATGATTTGATATGGTTTAAGAATGTTTAATACATTGGATATTTTCATGGATTTACGCGAGCTGGCAATCAAAGATGGCTGGAAAATGCCTCATTGAGTTCAAAGATTTTTGCATTTAAATGATGATATACTTTGGGGCTGGGGATTTTCCAGTTGCGTATGGTTACTGGATGGTAAAAATGGGGATATCATTATCCAAAAAAAATTGGGGACCAGGTGGACCAGGTAAATAATAGCCACAAGGGTGGTATTTTTTTTCAGCAGGTTGCAACTCTTTTTTGTGAACTTTTCTCTTGTTTTTTTTCGATGTCGGGAGCAACCCTGGTCTGTTTGGATCGTAAAACCAGAGTTTCTTGGTGAAGGGGATACTATGCGAAGCTGCTTTTAAAATATGGAGGTTTGTTTTGTCTCAGAGTATCTATGCTGTGCCTTGGTAAGTAGGTGGCCTCTGGTGGTGGTATCCCTATTTACAGAAAACTAGTTTCAATGTGTGTTTTTCCACCAAGCAAGTTAGGAAAAGATCATTGTGGAGCTAACTCTCGTGAGCGATGTTTGTCTACATAGAGATTTACGAGTTTTGATCGCGGCAATTTTTAGCGGGTCTCAGAAGGATCTAAGTCATGACGAAGCAAACAATCTCAAGATTCTTGGCCAAGATTGGGGCCAACACGTGTGGAAAAACCTGGAACAACTGGAAACATTGTTCATTTTGTTGGTGAATCGACAAGTTTGATCATGTCGTTACTGTCGTCACTGGACTGCTCACATCTGGGGAATCTCCTTTTTTGGCCATATGATAACAACTACCCTCTGGTTATTTAACATAGCCATGGAAAATCACCATTTTTAATAGGTAAACCCAGGTAAACCATCTATAAATGGGCCATTTTCCATGGCTATGTTAAATAACCAGAGGGTATATGTTCAGCTTATGTCGTGACTGATGAAACTCCGTAGTAAATCACCAAGCAAATCCTCACCGTGAACCCATTGCGATAAATCCCCATTGCAATAAATCCCCATTGCTTCACAACTCACGGTTCCTTGGACAGATGTTTTTATTTTTCCTGGTTAGATCCCAAGTTTGACTAGAGTTTTATTGTTATAATCCCATTTTTCCTGGTTAGATCCCATTTTTCCTGGTTACAATCAGAGTTTTACTGCTTAGTTTCATACACAATAGCCTGACCATTCACCCAACCACTTTTTAAATCTATAGTTTACCGCAATGTTTTTCCGTTTTATAGGACCCTTTTTTTGGGGGTATAGTAATATACCCTCACAAGCTCCCTTTTATTCAACCACGTCGCAATTTCTACCTCATAAAACCCATGTGCTTCCTGAATATGACCAGTTTTTTGGGGGGCTGGAAAAATGCCATTACTCTAGCAAAACCTTACCCATATTCCAAGGCTGTTCATATTCCATGCCAAAATAGCTCCGGAAATTTGGAAAATAATGAACGACCTTTGATGATGAGAATAAGGTTGTGTGACCCTTGTCATGCGCTCCCTTGTCACGTGCTGTCATGTCCAATCGCACATGTTTAACCCCGCTGAGAACCTTCTCAAGCAATGATTTCTTGAATAAACATAATCATAAAGTCTTGTTTCTCTCATCAAGCATCAACTTCTCTCTAGGATCTTTTAAGACCATTGGATAAGCTGTTCAGCTTATTTTTCGACGCGTTTGGCTGGCGGCTCAGCTTCCGCATCTGTAAACGGGGCCAAGTCTGGATTACGCTGTTCTTCCTCGAACCCAAATGGTACCATATTTCCACTTAATACAGTTACATTGAGTAGGATGCCACCCCTGGAGTACGATGCCCCCCCCGTATGCGTTGCCGTTCCTGCATGTGGGCTTCTCAGGCATATGTTAATATCATTTTTGACCAAATCGAGGCTGCAAATTCCATTCCACATACCCACAAGGCATCACACTCTATCGCGCATGACTAAGACAACAATCGAGAATTTCCATAGCCTCCACAGGTCAAAAGTATCAAAATTTCATGGAATGCGATTGTATGCGCGACTGCTCAAAACGCTGGAAAAACAACAATTTCCCCCATATTCCATATTATCAGATTTCAGAGCATTTTACCTCCGAAGGGGGAAAAAAATAAAAAAAAACTCTTCAGGTCAATTTTTCGAACAATTTTTTTGGCTGTCTGCGCAAGTTTTTCTGGTGTACGATCCCTTTTGTGGAGTACGATGATCTGTGAGTAGGTGTGTGGAGTGCGATGGGGTCCTCTGTGGTGCGATGACACCCCTCGAGTGCGATGCGACATGAGTATGCGCGGCCGGAAATCCCCTGAGAGAAGGATTCTGGGCCACAATTCCCCAAATTCAACAGAGCGAGCGGATGCTGGTTGTTGTAATTTAACAGGATTTCAGCCCACTCAACAAACAAGTCAAACAATATTTTGAAACCCTCTCCTTCTTCAGTCTGCAAAATGGGAAACTCACTTATCAGGACACGCTTTAGCTCATCCAGGCTCCATAGCATTTCAGGAACAACACAAGGCATCGACATGGTGCCAAACAATTTCCAAATTGAGCTGAAAGGTCTTCCCATCGCAACCAGTCATTTCACAGGTGTGAAACATGTCACACACAGGGAAACAGGTTGGGAAAACAGTGGGTCCAAAGAGACAGGTCTGGAGTACGATGGATTCATAGTATATGTGCATTTGCTGAATTTGGGTAACTTGGAGCTAGAATTACGATGCCATCAAATCATGTTCTTCCCTGCTCAGATCTCAAGTTTTGGTTTATAACCCCCATCAGAATTCCATGAAGTCATATGAAATCAGTGAAATTTTGCCATTTAGATCCCATTACCCTTTGGTAAACTAACAATACTATGGAAAATCACCATGTTTAATGGGTAAATCAACTATTTCTATGGAAAATCACCATTTTCCAGTTCGCAAACTGTTGACATAACCAGGTTGGGTACTCTCTGGTTATTTAACATAGCCATGGTATAGATGGTCCATAGAAATAGATGGTTTACCTATTAATAGCATGGTGATTTTCCATGGCAAACTGTTACTCATAACCAGGTTGGGTACCCTTTGGTAAACTAACATAGCTATTGAAAATTGCCATTTATAGCTGATTTACCCATTAAAAATGGTGATTTTCAATAGCTATGTAACAAATAACCAGGTTGGGTAAATCCCGATGTTTTCCACATTTCAGGATCCCATGGATCCCATGGATCTCAGGCATTGGAGACGGGCAACATCGTCCTGGAACGAGCTCGGCGCTTGGCCGCGAAGCGCCGCGAGACGCCGCATGGAACGCTAGGAACGAAACGCTGCGTATGCGAGCGGTAACCGTTGCGCGCGAGGTCAGTGGTGACATGGATGCGATGTTCATGGCATCGGATTTCCATGGATTTCCTTGAATAGAAGCAATAAACATGGGACATTTATTGAGGGTTGGGAGGGTTCAAGTTGGAATTGGTGATGTTTTTTTTTACGGGATGAATTTAAATTAAGTAGCATAATGTTGATCCAAAATCAGGCAGAAGCAGCAAAAAGTCTGGGGATATCACCAGAATCGCAAGCACCCCATAGTTTCGTTTGGTCATAGTCTAATTGAAACGCCATGCTGGTTGCTGGTTTGGAACCTTTGTTTATTTTTTCCATATATTGGGAATAATAATCCCAACTGACTAATATTTTTCAGAGGGGTAGGTATGCCACCAATCAGCTTGGGTTTTAGTGTTTTTTCCTATGGTGAGCCCAAAAGCATTGTGACGAAAAGCGGGAAGTGTGAGGATTTTACGTCCCAAAACATGTGGGTCAATGCCAGCAAAAAACATCGAAGCAGCCAGCGGACGGGATTTAACGACATATCAAGCAAGTTTCGGGTTCTCCTGATCAAATCTTGAGCCACTAAGATAACCCATCCGTGTATGGTATATATGCTAACATTGGGGGTATATTGATGGTAAATGCTACCATATATAGCATACATGGATCCTATGGGCCAAGATAATAAACCATAAACCCTTGAAAAAGGATGGAAATCATATGAAACCCCTACAGTTTTGAGGCAGTTTCAATGTGGCTATGCCTCAAAACCCTGGTACCATAGGCACCCTAAAATAGCTGGTTAATGAATGTTTATTCCCCCAATATGGTAATAATAGGTTTTGACCCATCCCCATGTATCTTACATGAACCGTGGAATCCATCCAGCGCCACAGCGACCTGGAAATTCCGTGCCCGGCCCGGGCACGGCCTGATCGACCGTGTTTTGTGCGGTGCAGGTGATGGAAATCCACATGACCCAAATACCATACATGGATTCTATGGGATTGGGATAAGGAGATAAGAATGAGATATTCTTGGGAGAATGGGTGTGTGTGGAACATCTGAACAGATGTAAAACTTCTAGAACTTCTTTTTTCTACACTGTTAGGAAATGCAGGGGGGCAGTGCACGACTGACAGACACTGCCCAACGAAGACACTGTCAGTTCATGCTGATACAGAGCCTGATCAGCTCTGCGTACCTGCATCGTTTTCATCATTTCTCTGAATGGCAACCGGGTAAGCCCAGAACCGGAGCGACGATTCAATTTTGTTTGCACGTTTGCCGCAATCTGGCATTTATATTCATTTCGAGATTTGCACGTTTGCCGGAATCTGATATTTATCTCTACATGTCATGCGTACTGGTTCATTTTCATTTGCACGTGGTGGAACCCAGTTCCCGTCAGATCACTACAATTATCCTGTTCTTTTCAGTGTGTGTAAGGTGATGAACTGTACTTTCCCAATGGGAAATACGCCATGACTGGGAAATCTATAGGGATCTGATGGGGAATCTTTGACGCTGGTTCCGAAAAAGCAAAGACAACTAGCAGGGTGGAAGCAGGGCAACTGACTGAAAAAAAAGGGCTTGTTCTTGTGAATTGTCACATAATGCGAAGGATTGCGGTCACCCGTTGCCTTGCTTCCACGGTTGCCCCCTTATAGTTAATTGCTAGTTGGTTTAACCAATAAAATACGTCACCCCAAGTTATCATGCCAAGTATTTTGGTCATTTTTCATTGGAAGGTTCCCTTTGTCGGAACCCGTTTTCTTGTTTTCCCATGCCTGGAGGATCATCCCGCTAAGTAGGTTATATCCTTGGTCTTCGTGGGAGTAGGCTTAATCCACTTATAACTGGGGTCATGACTCATGACCTATACTTACTAAGTGTGATGAACCACCAAGTAGCTCCGAAAGTCAATAAAGTAAGCGCTATGTTTCATTGGAATATATGGTTCCCCCAAGCAAATCCATGAAATTGGGGAGACAAAGCCATGTCAAATGGGAAAAAACATATGGGAATAATATGGGATGGGAATATGGAGGAGATATTGTTTTTTTTGATTATACTATGATTATACATAATTGTGCTATGTTTGGGATGAACATCCAGCTGACTATATGCAACACAGAAAAAACGATATGGTTTTTTGAAGCCCGTGGTTATGGGGTGAGTTCAGCGGTTCTGCCATGGGATGTCCTTCACTGTGCACCTTTTCAACTTCGAATTGACTGCTGGGTCGCTGGGTGCAGAAATTGGGACCAAAAATGGGGACCCTTGTTTTCCCACATCATACCCTCTGGTAAACTAACATAACCATGGAAAATCACCATTTTTCAAGGGTAAATGGTAAATCAACTATTTTTATGGCCATTTTCAATAGCTATTCTGACATAACCAGGTTGGGTACTCAAAATTGTGCTTCAATCATGTTCAATCCACCCATGGTAACTTAGAGCCACTGAGAAACGGAAACATCCGAATCGTACGAATCGTAATCCTTCCTTGAGTATACCTCCGTTGTCGTTGTCTGTTTCGCCGTACTTCTTTGCATCCCAAAGACGGTACTGTTAGTGGGTCCATAGCTGTGCTTCATCAGGCTGCAATCCATGTGCACAAGAAAATGATACTTGGTGCAGTTCCACTGCACTGGATATACATATTCTACCCCAGTTTTTGGGACGGGAGATTCCTAGTTAGGGGTATAAACATGTATAATACCATGGATCCGATCCCATGATTAGTCCATTATTAGTGAATTAAACCATATTAAGCCAGATGAAACATGGAAAGCAGGTCCTAATTCTTGAGACCCCAGTGGCAAGTTCTGTCGGAATTGTGGGTCGTCGCTTGCGCTTCGCTTGGTGCGTTTTTCAAAGCGAGCGTGGACCCACGGATGAGAGCGGCACGGAAAGGGCAAAGAGGCCATGCGGGGAACGTGGGAACGCCGCCAAAGCCAACCATCCCCAAAATCACCACAAAAATGGGTTGCATTTCCACCATCCTCTATGAAATTGTGGGTTTATGATTGGGTTCACCACATTACCGCTTCTTTTTGGATGTCAGACAAAAACATTGAAAAACGCCACGGCTTTTTTTTGGCAATTTTAAAATTTTATAGAGTCACCTCCCCTTGGACCTCTTCAGCCTTTTTACAGAATCTGAGCAGTGGCTGTGGGGACTAAAGTGACACCAATGGGAGGGTCATGGGTATACGGTTTTTCAGGGGTATATTTTGTTAAGGGAATATCATGCAATAGAATGGAATAATGATGAATCATGGGAATGTAATGCAATCAAATGGGAAGGTGAGCCACAACCAAAATTTAGGTTAATGGAGAGTAGTAAGCGAGACATTTTTATTTTATGGAAATTGCACTGGGGTTTGGAAAACGATAATACACTCTTCAAAAAACGATAACATTTGCTTTACCAAAACCTGAAAAATCGATAATCTGGTTGGTGGTTTCAAACATTTGGATTATGTCCCATAATATATATTAATATATGGGATGTCATCCTTCCCATTGACTCATATTTTTCAAGATGGTTATTGCACCACCAACCAGCAATACACTCTTCAAACATTGATGACTTGGAGCACCAAATCTCGACCGTGGCAATGGGACGACCAAATGGACGTATTTTCAATCAGATGTTTAACCCCTCCTGTTGGTTGATTGGGGATTCCAAGTGGCTAATAGTGGTTAATAATGGTTAATAGTGGTTAATAGTGGTTAATAGTAGTTAATAATGGTTAATAATGGTTAATGAGATATCTGGTTGGTGGTTTGGAACATGTTTTATGACTTTCCATATATTGTGAATAGTAACCCCAACTGACTTTCATATTTTTCAGAGGGTTGAATCCACCAACCAGGAATCCCGTTTCTACACCAGTGAACAGAACGACAGAAACTTTTGGGTCAAGAGCAGCCACTGCATTGTCATTCTCGGCGTCTCTTTTCGCGTGAAAAAAACACTCGGATGATAGCATTAGATGCAACGGTTTCATGGAAGATTGGCACAAGGCCTGTGAATCCGCTTCGCGATTTTCTCAATGGCAAGGTCCGTGCCGTATACTTTTTGGTGACGCTTCGTTGTCCCCCGGTAACCATAGGTAAAACTATGAAACATTGTAAAGTTGATGGGATTGGAAGGGGATAAAACACGTCATCCCAACTGGTGATGTTGGGTAAATGACCACGTGAATGGGAGATTTATCAGCAACAACCTGGCCACTGGGATGATCATTCCGCGATGTCAATCGGAAAGATTACCCTCTGGTAAACTAACATAGCTATTGAAAATGGCCATTTATAGTGGATTTTCCCACTAAAAATTGTGATTTTCCATGGTTATGTTAGTTTACTAGAGGGTAGAATCCACTAACAAGATCTAGTGATGACCACGTCAAGGAAAAAGGTAAACCATCAATGATGCCATCAATCCATCAATCCATAGATAATAACTGGTTTTTCTTTCTCATACACTTGATGATAACTGGTAATAACTGGTATATTTCTACGGATTCATGGATATAACCTCATACACTTGATGACCAAACCTCCTTAAACTTGGTTACAACTGGTGTCAGACAGACGTCTATTTGGGTCAGTCAGCAATTTTGACGCCTCAAATCTTTGGGATTCATCCAGAATTTCTGATGAGAATTGCAACTGGGAACATGCCTTAAATAGAGACTTAATTGGGACAGTGCATAAACAAACACATGTAATATCATGTACCCTCTGGTAAACTAACATAACTATGGAAAATCACAATTGTTCATGGGAAAATCCACTATAAATGACCATTTTCAATAGCTATGTTAAATTACCAGAGGGTAATATCATGTAATTTCATCATCTTCTGGGAAATGCTACTATTGCAAAGTTGTGCCATGTTGTGCCACTCAACCCTTTATAGCATCATCTCCCTTGCAGATAATTCATTGTGGAGGTACGCTCTCGCACGCGCATCTCCGTTGGAATTCCTGTGCGTCTAGATGAGTGGCTGAGCCGAGTGCATGATTCAACGTCT